GCCGAGTATAGACTTAGTTTTAGCGACTAGAAATGGACATTCTGACAGTGAATTAACATTTATTGTTATGCTCCAAGCACTTCAGCATCGTAATTTTGTCCTGAACTTTTGATAAAAGGGCTTATATATTTCCAACAATACCTTATCTTTTGTACAGATCCTTCGAGATGCCCAACTTATCTGCATTGTGGGAGCTATCTTCTTCGTGGATGTCTGCGTTGTCACTACCTGGGTGATGTGGGATCCGATGTCTCGCAAAGTGACCGAACTCCCGGACCAGGTAGCTAGAAACGAGCATATTCGAATAAGATCATTATCCTGTTTGGAAGTTTCGAGAATTTAAATAATGATTCATTTGCATTTTAAGAAAATACGATAGATTATCATGAATTCCAATGAGCTTCTATTGTGTGAGATCGCTGGTGAAGAACTCTAACGGATAGAAGACAATAAAAGCCCATGCTTTAACGCCATTTTCAAGTCTGTTTTATCGAAACTGTTCAGGTCATGTTCTACCAAATATAGCTCCTGCTTTAGCATATATTCGAATTTTGACAGAATTTGAGAACGTCAAGTTGGTGTAGGAAATCATTCGCGCAAACTAACGGCAGAAGCAATTTTGATGGTTTTGTCCAAGGAAACATGGCATTTCCGTGATAAGATTAGATCCCGGTGTTAATACAACTTCATTCGGTTTTTATCTGCTGAATCTTTGGGAAGGAAAGAATTGGCTTCTATTTTTATGCATTGGTTGTGCAAAGTGACACTATTGCTAGTCGGCTATATGGATCTGATTCTCCATAATATGCAACTTATGGCTCAATTATGTACCTTTACATTAGGCCATTTGTAATATTGAGACCAAGCTAAAACTGGACACTTTTGTGATATTTTTTGTTATATGCCGGCTTAGCGTAATTCACTTAAAGTGTCCGTTGGTTCGGAAAGACTTTTGTGCTCGGATTGGTATACCTTAAACATTTTTCTGACACTTTATAATACACGACCACTTGTAAGCTAAATTAAGAGCCATTGGTAGATTAACTTTAGGAGATGAATGATGGAAGAGTTGAATCAAGTCGGAGAGATGATGCCTGAGTGAAGGGAGGAAGGCTCAATTGAGGCAGATTCCATCATGAATCAACTGTTGGCCTGCCTTGATGACAAGCCATAAAGACTTTCACTTAATAGGATAAACTTGAGGTTAAAACGGAAATTCGGGTGCAAGGAAAGGAGCTAGACCAAGCAGCAACTAGTTCCGGGAGCTAAGATACTTGCTGGCGCGTAGGCATACTTTGCATGCATTGGTGAATGTCGGATAGTGGACAACCACTCTACAGTAGCGTTTTTAGT